TCTTTGGGTAACCCGAAGACGAAATCCATTGAGATGGATTCCCAGCACTCAGCCGGAACCGGTAGAGGCTGTAAAGGTGCACGCAGTGAAGGACTTGACTTCACTCGTTGGCAGACTTCGCATGCGCGAACATACTTTCGCACAAACTGATACTGGCGGGGCCAGTAAAAGTCTCGACTTACCGTGAGATATGTTTTCTCTCGGCCACGATGTCCTCCTATAGGAGCATCGTGATACTCGAACATGATCCGCAAACGCAGATCAGTATCATCTGGAATGACAACACGTGGTGTGTCACCAGAAACGGCTGTATAATACAGTAAACCGTTACGAGTAGTGTATCGATCTGATGCAGATCGATACGCAGGCGACAATCGTTTCAACGATTCTCGGGATGGTTGGGAGAGATGTGACAACAACTTCACTATCTCACCATCTTGGGCGTATGCCCGCCTCACATCATCATACAACATTGTAGATGGGACTGAGGACGTCATAACCGCAACAGTGACTGTCTCACTGTTGGGTTTCGCGACTGTTTCAAAGTCGGGACGACGTGAGAGTGCATCAGCGACGACATTAAGTCGTCCTGGTTTGTACTCGACCGTAAAGTTGTATTCTGCAAAGAATGACAACCACCGCGCCATTCGTTGTGAAAGGTGCGGGCTGTTCACTGCCGTGCGTAAGGACGCATGGTCAGTGTAAACAACGAAGGGTCTATCTCCTAATAGATAGACTCTGAACTTCGCTAGTGCATACTTCATGGCAAGGAGTTCCTTGTCATGTACTGGATAGTTCCGCTCAGCTGGTTGCAGCTGACGCGACTGATAGCAGACGACGCGTTCAACGCCTTCAAGATCGTACTGCATTAATGCACAGCCGATTGCAAAATCGCTGGCATCACAGACCACATGAAATGGCCTGTCCTGATCGGCTATTGCTAGGACTGGGGATTGTATCAAGCTCTGCTTGATACCCTCAAAGGAGCGTTGACATTCAGCGTTCCATAACCACCTCTCGTTCTTTTTCAACAAACGAGAGAGGTGCACAGTCATCTCGGCGTAATTGCGTGAATACTTATGCAAATACGCCGCTAGCCCAAGGAATTTTCGAAGACCTTTGACATCGACCGGCACAGGCCAGTCGGTGATCGCCTTGATCTTTTCGGGATCAGGACGTACACCGTTCTTACCAACGATGCACCCAAGAAGTGGTATTTCGCTTGCTGCAAATATACACTTCTTGAGGTTTGCATACAATTGATGCTTTCGCATGATTGTAAGAACTTGTCGGACGTGGTACCTGTGAACCTCAACGTCCGATTTTCCATCCATAGCTCGACTATGGATGAATACGTCATCGAAATAACTCGGCGCGAATTCTCGTACTGGCCTCAACAGATGTGATACACACCTGTTGAACGTGGCAGGGGCATTACTGAGCCCTTGTGGCATTACTAGCCATTCCCAGAGCATGCCACTAGGCGTGCTAACTGCGGTATAGGGTATATCCCGTTCCCGCATTAGGATTTGATAGAAGCCATCCATCAAATCCATGGACGAAAAGATGGTACTCTTTGACATACCATCAATGATTACGTCCTTCCTCGGTATCGGCGTCTGAGCCGGTACCGTTGCAGCGTTCAATTTGTTAAACGCGTGCACTATCCGCCACCCTCCTGTTGCTTTTCGCACACAGAAGGTCGGAGAGCTATGTGGGGAAGTTGATTCCCTCACATGGCCCGCTGCTAAACGATCGGCAAAGAACTTGTCGATCGCAAGTACTTGTTCACGAGGCAGTGGCCACTGCTTCATGACACAGTACTTCGAGCCTGGTTTAAGCTCGACTTCGTGTCGAATACCTTTATCCTTCGGTAATTCGCACGGAACAGTTTCAGGGAATACATCCTTGAATTCAACCAAATCCTCATAGAGAGGGTTTTCCTTGAGCGATTCCCATGATTGGGACTCATATCGCTCAATTCGTGTCTTTTCATCTAGGACACTCTCGTCCATAGATGAACTACTGAGAACTCTCTCGTTCTCAGTAAACACTGTTGCTGACCTTATGTCGGTTACACACTCGTCGTCAGCGACGAGTATGCAGATCTGCTTGACTTTGCCACTACGCAGATCACGCAAGAACCTTTTATGTTCGAGCGTTGGCAACTGAGTGATCTCCGAAGTTAACTTCGGAGGCGCAATCAGATCAAGTGTATAAGCGCCTACACATGATCCGTTATTGACTATGACATTCAATGTCTCTGTCATTTCCTGGGGACTTATTCCCTCAGGCTTCGAAGGACTTATTCCTTCGTCTTCCCGGGGACTTATTCCCGCGGGTTTCGGGGAACTTATTTCCGCCGTATTTGTAATCTTGGGACTTATTCCCTTTATTTCCTCTAGCTGGGGTTGCGCAACCACAGCGAGATCCTCTACGAAAGACTCTCCAGTCGATCTAGGATTATCGTTTCGCTTAACCTGAGCGATCGATTGTTTCTCTTCTAGATGTTCCCCTCTAGGGATACATCTTTGTCCCAGTCCACCCGACTTATTCGAGTGGTGGACCTTCGGCGCAGCCTGTGTTTCCTCACAGCCGCCGGAACTTTGCTCCGAAGTGTAACCGTTTGGTACACTAAGGTTTTGTGCAGTCGTACTAACGACCGTACCACAAGTGAGGCCATCGCACTCACTCGTAGTACATCCACACGCTTGTGGACGCTCCAAAACGTTCATCAGATGGCCATCTGATGAACAAGCGGCAGGCATCGTTACTGTCCGATGTTGCCAGTTTACCCGTGGTTCGTACCTTCTGAGCCACGGTATTCCAAGGATGACATCAAATTTGTCATCCAAATCCAATACGATAAAGTCATCGTCATATTGGGTATCTTCTAGCGTATAGCGAATCTTCACTATACGCTTCATGACGGTTACGGATGCGCCTGTCGCAAGACGAACCGTCATCCTCGTAGGAGGTGTGTCACATTCACTGAATTTAAAGTGACCATCTTCTAGCGATTGGCGTCGCACAAAATTGTTGGACGCCCCACAATCGACTAGAGCTCGAAGGGACAACTTATTCGTCACTTCGAGTTTCAAGGTAATGAGTGAGATCTCATTACCTAGAGCAGCAACGCACAACGTCTGTGTGTTGGGAGCAACCTTCATCAAGAGGCCTACAAATTCTCTTGACGTTGCTGGATCAGTAGGGTGCTCCGCACCTACTGATCCTGTCCGTTTTTTGACGGTCCATCCCGTTGTTGCGTCTTTGCACCAACTGCGGACCCTCGTCCCTGCCCCTTTCTCATGGGTGGACGGTCACTACGCCCAGTGTCGCGAGACACTGGACGAGGGGCACTACACTCGTAAGCGTAGTGTCCTGTCTTTTGACATCTGTTGCATCTCTGCAACTTCTTGTAGCCTGTAGAGCGAACCTTCTCACTCTCTACATAACAGAGTTCCATCGGCTCTGGACCTCCGTTGTCATATCGTCTCGGTTGACGATATGATGTCGAGCTGGCGCGAGCCTGTCTCAGACTGAAGTCTTCCTGCTCCGCAATGGAAATGGCTTGTTCTAGTGAATCTAGTTCAAGCCGGAACAGGTGAGTCTTGACGGGACCATCCGCAAGACCCTGCATGAACACCGAAACCAACGTGTGTTCATCCACTGGATTGGAACTTATACAACTCGTAAGATGTCGTATATGTTGAGCGTAAGCGTGCACATCACGCTTACCCTGCTTGAGCTTCAAGAGTTCGGTTCGAGCCCTGAACTCAGCTCTAGGCGGTTCAAACGTTTGTCTGAGCCGCGACTTGAAGACTTCCAACGACCCAAACGCATATGGGTCGTGCAGCTTGAGCCCCAGTGCCCAAGTCTTGGCACGTCCTGCCAGATTTGATTGGGCAAATGCAACTTGCATATCCCCGTCGTCGATGCGACGCGCCCTTATGGCGTCATCCAATTCGACGAACCATCTCAAGAGGGAGTCTTCTTCGACCCCTCTATACTTTGAGATGTCAATCTTCAAAGTCTCGGGCCGACGCGAGTGCATCGACCCGCCAGCAGCAGCCTGCTGCTGTCTCAACAGTTCAAACTGTTGAGCACCTTGTTCTCTCAACAACTCTGCTTGTTGAGAACCTTGTTGGTGAAGCAAGGCTACTTTCTCGCGTTCAGCGTCAAGTTCATTTTGGATGAACTTGGCGATAGTAGCATGTTGGGCGTCTCTATTGAGAGCCTCTAGCATGACGCTAACAGCATGGATGCCCATGGTCGAACCCATTCGTTCAACCGCATCCCATTCGACATCGCTCAAATGGGAGTAGCCGTCACGCGTAGCGTGAAAGCTTTGGTCATCTTCATCATCCAACATATTCATGTTGGATGTGAACGCGGTCCTTGGACGGACTACGAAGTGCTACCAGGTGTAACGGGGCACCCTGAAGCTTGTACTGGTGACAGTACAAGCTACTTATTCTGATAACAGAATAAGGCGGTGCCTCGTAACTTCACGTACACTCGTACGTGCAGAGGAAGACGGTAAGAAGAAGCGAGTACTCGGTTAGAGTAAAAAGTAGAACTGTATTTATAATAGTTAATGTCTGCAATAAATCACTATTTATCTTCATCTAACTATGTCTAAATACAAATGTGTAAATCAGTTATCTGCTCACCACTCATTGCGTGCGTCTGTCGTGGCGCGTCTTCGTTGGTTGATATAATGGCCTATATCAACCAATTAGGAACTACTTGTAAGTGCTACAGAATATTTGTCCTTATGACAATATTCTGAGAATATAACTCTTATAGTTATATTCTATTAACAATTTCTTATAAATTTTTATGTAACGATTCACCCCGTTACATCACCCCCCTTAACCATCAGTCACTTTAGTGACTGATTGACTGAATGGATACTCGTCCCAAATCATTTGGGACAGGGTTTGCACTTGTTGGTCCGCGTCCACTTTCCAACATTTCATCGCATGGTAAACAAGCCCATGCGATGCGCGAGCAAGGCCGCCGAGAGCGCGTCCGCACGTCTCTGTGCGGACGCCGAAGCAGAAACAACAGCAACTGATGTCTCATCGGTTGCTGAAGCGACCCAGCCTGTGTCACTTGGCGATGCACGCGCTGGTCATGAAGACACTCGTGTCTTCACAGAGTACGAGCTCGGTGTCTCGTACTCTCCTGATACGGATGACGGATCCGTATCAAAGGCGATTGAATCTAAGCCGCCTGCCAAGCGTGGCATGGACGATGCTTTGCGTCGTAGCATCTGTGGTTCGTCTGACGAATCAGATGAACCATCGCCAAAGCGAAGGCGCTCGAGGTCGCGAGACTCGGGCGCTAATAGTGGTGTCGGTTCTCCTATGGACACCACTTCGCAACGAGGTGCCAGTACTTCTGTCGGCACGTCGCAGGAAGAGCGGGACCGCAAAGTGTTGCGTCTCGCTCCTGAGAAGAAGGCATGGATGCCTCCTAAATCCGTCATGGATCACTTGTCGGCGACGACGAGTGATCGTTATCGAACACGATTGTTCGATTCGTCAAGAGATCCATCACCTTGACCCCAGCGCGAAAAACTATCGCGCTGAACACGAATTCTTCATCGATGCTTTCTTCAGACATCGATGGTACAGTGGGAACCACAAGCGTGATGGTCCCTCACTACTTCAAGCGTGGAACGCCTACATCCATAATCTCGAGGATGTAGGTCGTGACGCTTGGAACGACAAACTTATCAAAGCTCGTGATAAGTTTGAAAAGCGAACCCCGACAGGTGCACGCTACAAGCTGCATCGTCTGTCAAGGGAGAAAGGATTACCCTGCCTCTCTTGGGGAGACTGGTGCCCATGTTGTGTGAACAACTCTGCGCGAGCACCTAAGGAGGCTTACCTCCTTAATAGCCCGTGGTGGCGCGTACGTGTCTCTACTGAGATGTACGAAGGGATTGACAACCTGAAATCCCTTTACGACCGTGCCGGGAAGACTTTCTCCGGCGGTCCTTCTGCGGCACAGGATGTGCCGCGTCGTACTGCTCAACCAGACCCAGTACGTCGATCATCAGTTGGGAGCGGGGCTCCCAAGAATCCCAGGACGGGGGATAGCCGCGCCACCGGACGAGATAACTCGTCCGACGTCCGTTCACGTCGCGGTGGTTCAACAGCTGCTCAACTAGATAGCGCTGGCCACCGCGAGAGTCCTCTAATGGAGGTGGAGTAGGAGGAAAGACGCTCTCCACACGATCATGTGGATCGGTGTGTTCCTGAGAGCTTCTTTGATCGCGTAACGCAAGGGTTACGCGACGATCTCGAGCATGAGCGGGACAGGCGTCTCCAATTGGCGGACACTGTCTTGGAGCATCGAGCTGAGTTTGCCTTTGCTCAGCTTGAGAACGAGAGAGCTCTGACACCTCTTCGTGACGAGCTAAGGGTAGCTCGTGGGATTGTTGATCGGTCTCGGGCTGAGATAACTGCTCTTCAGACCCTTGTTGATGCCCACCATCGGGAGCACAAGGCTCTCTGCGAGATGCTTGAGCGCAAGGGCGTTCTTCATCGGAAGAAGCAGCGTACTGATGGTACGGCTTAAGCCGACCAACGTAAAACGTGGGATGCGTTCGCATCTTACGTGGTAACTCGATCGTGTATGCATTGCCTAGGCGGTGCAATACACGAAATGGGCCAATGTACTTGGGTAGTAGTTTACTGCTACCCAAGTTAGTCACTACATGCTTTGGTAGATTAACCGTAGACAGTAGGACTAAGTCACCTTTATTAAATAAAAGAGTGTTTGCCCTTCCATTCTTGTCAGCGTTTTGCTTTTGCTTATCCACCGCTTCGGCGATGGAGTCTTGCACAAAACGGACTACCGTTTCACGAGCCAGTATGAACTCATCTGATGACTCGTTAGCTTCAGTGTGCTGTGAGCGCACTGCAGCAACAACAACCTTTTCTTCAGTGAGGGCTTCCGCACTCTCGCTGGGATCATTGTCTTCAGTGAGGGCTTCCGCACTCTCACTGGCATCATATTCTTCGATATCGATGTTATCGATATCGGCATCAAACGCAATGACTTCTTCGTCAGAGCGTGATGAGCGTGAACCAAATCGGTTTTTGCTCGCGCGAGTCCCTTCCCCCTTAAACCAGAGTTACACTCTAGTAAGGTGGGTACACGCGGATGGCGCAAGCCATTCACGTAAAACGGTGTATGTGTCGTGGACGCATGCACCGAGTTGTTGATGGCAAACTCTACCATAGGCAAAAACTCACTCCAACTCTTAAAGGAGTGTACGTATCCTCGAAGTATCTCTTCAAGGACACGATTGGCACGTTCCGTCTGACCATCTGACTCTGGATGATCAGATGTAGACATCTTCAAGCGCGTTCCGAGTGATTTGAACACGAAACGCCAGAAATCAGCAGTGAATCGTGGATCTCTGTCTGATACGAGTTCACGGGGCAACCCATGAAGTCGGGAGATGGTGTCAATAAAGACACAAGCACAGCCACTTGCCGTGATTGTCTCTGGTACAGCCACAAGGTGTACCATTTTGCTGAATCTTTCAACAAATACGAGAATACCCGTATTCCCGCGTGCGTCTTTGGGTAACCCGAAGACGAAATCCATTGAGATGGATTCCCAGCACTCAGCCGGAACCGGTAGAGGCTGTAAAGGTGCACGCAGTGAAGGACTTGACTTCACTCGTTGACAGACTTCGCATGCGCGAACATACTTTCGCACAAACTGATACTGGCGGGGCCAGTAAAAGTCTCGACTTACCGTGAGATATGTTTTCTCGCGGCCACGATGTCCTCCTATAGGAGCATCGTGATACTCGAACATGATCCGCAAACGCAGATCAGTATCATCTGGAATGACAACACGTGGTGTATCACCAGAAACGGCTGTATAATACAGTAAACCGTTACGAGTAGTGTATCGATCTGATGCAGATCGATACGCAGGCGACAATCGTTTCAACGATTCTCGGGATGGTTGGGAGAGATGTGTCAACAACTTCACAATCTCACTATCTTGGGCGTATGCCCGCCTTACATCATCATACAACGTTGTAGATGGGACTGAGGACGTCATAACCGCAACAGTGACTGTCTCTCTGTTGGGTTTCGCGACTGTTTCAAAGTCGGGACGACGTGAGAGTGCATCAGCGACGACATTAAGTCGTCCTGGTTTGTACTCGACCGTAAAGTTGTATTCCGCAAAGAATGACAACCACCGCGCCATTCTTTGTGAAAGGTGCGGGCTGTTCACTGCCGTGCGTAATGACGCATGGTCAGTGTAAACAATGAAGGGTCTATCTCCTAATAGATAGACTCTGAACTTCGCGAGTGCATACTTCATGGCAAGGAGTTCCTTGTCATGCACTGGATAGTTCCGATCAGCTGGTTGAAGCTGACGCGACTGATAGCAGACGACGCGTTCAATGTCTTCAAGATCGTACTGCATTAATGCACAGCCGATTGCGAAATCGCTGGCATGACAGACCACATGAAATGGCCTGTCCTGATCGGCTATTGCTAGGAGTGGGGATTGTATCAAGCTCTGCTTGATACCATCAAAGTAGCACTGACATTCAGCGTTCCATAACCACCTCTCGTTCTTTTTCAACAAACGAGAGAGGTGCACAGTCATCTCGGCGTAATTGCGTGAATACTTATGCAAATACGCCGCTAGCCCAAGGAATTTTTGAAGACCTTTGACGTCAACCGGCACAGGCCAGTCGGTGATCGCCTTGATCTTTTCGGGATCAGGACGTACACCGTTCTTACCAACGATGCACCCAAGAAGTGGTATTTCGCTTGCTGCAAATATACACTTCTTGAGGTTTGCATACAATTGATGCTTTCGCATGACTGTAAGAACTTGTCGGACGTGGTACCTGTGAACCTCAACGTCCGACTTTCCATCCACAGCTCGACTATGGATGAATACGTCATCGAAATAATTCGGCGCGAATTCTCGTACTGGTCTCAACAGATGTGATACACATCTGTTGAACGTGGCAGGGGCATTACTAAGCCCTTGTGACATTACTAGCCATTCACAGAGCATGCCGCTAGGCGTGCTAACTGCGGTATAGGGTATATCCCGTTCTCGCATTAGGATTTGATAGAAGCCATCCATTAAATCCATGGACGAAAAGATGGTACTCTTTGACATACCATCAATGATTACGTCCTTCCTTGGTATCGGCGTCTGAGCCGGTACCGTTGCAGCATTCAACTTGTTAAATGCATGCACAATCCGCCACCCTCCTGTTGCCTTTTGCACACAGAAGGTTGGAGAGCTACGTGGGGAATTTGATTCCCTCACGTGGACCGCAGCTAAACGATCGGCAAAGAGCTTGTCGATCGCAAGTACTTGTTCACGAGGCAGTGGACACTACTTCATGACACAGTACTTCGAGCCTGGTTTAAGCTCGACCTCGTGTCGAATACCTTTATCCTTCAGTAATTCACACGGAACAGTTTCAGGGAATACATCCTTGAATTCAACCAAATCTTCATAGAGAGGATTTGTCTTGAGCGATTCCCACGATCGGGAGTCAAATCGCTCAATTCGTGTCTTTTCATCCAGGACACTCTCGTCCATAGATGAACTACTGAGAACTCTCTCGTTCTCAGTGAACACTGTTGCTGACCTTATGTCGGTTACACACTCGTCGTCAGCGACGAGTATGCAGATCTGCTTGACTTTGCCACTACGCAGATCACGCAAGAACCTTTTATGTTCGAGCGTTGGCAACTGAGTAATCTCCGCAGTCAAGTCCGGACTCGCAATCAGATCAAGTGCATAAGCGCCTACACTTGATCCGTTATTGACTATGACATTCAATGTCTCTGTCATTTCCTGGGGACTTATTCCCTCAGGCTTCGAAGGACTTATTCCTTCGTCTTCCCGGGGACTTATTCCCGCGGGTTTCGGGGAACTTATTTCCGCCGTATTTGTGATCTTGGGACTTATTCCCTTTACTTCCTCTAGCTGGGGTTGCGCAACCACAGCGAGATCCTCTACGAAAGACTCTCCAGTCGATCTAGGATTATCGTTTAGCTTAACCTGAGCGATCGATTGTTTCTCTTCTAGATGTTCCCCGCTAGGGATACATCTTTGTCCCAGTCCACCCGACTTATTCGAGTGGTGGACCTTCGGCGCAGCCTGTGTTTCCTCACAGCCGCCGGAACTTTGCTCCGAAGTGTAACCGTTTGGTACACTAAGGTTTTGTGCAGTCGTACTAACGACCGTACCACAAGTGAGGCCATCGCACTCACTCGTAGTACATCCACACGCTTTTGGACGCTCCAAAACGTTCATCAGATGGCCATCTGATGAACAAGCGGCAGGCATCGTTACTATTCGATGTTGCCAGTTTACCCGTGGTTCGTACCTTCTGAGCCACGGTATTCCAAGGATGACATCAAATTTGTCATCCAAATCCAATACGATAAAGTCATCGTCATATTGGGTATCTTCTAGCGTATAGTGGATCTTCACTATACGCTTCATGACGGTTACGGATGCGCCTGTCGCAAGACGTACCGTCATCCTCGTAGGAGGTGTGTCACATTCACTGAATTTAAAGTGACCATCTTCTAGCGATTGGCGTCGCACAAAATTGTTGGACGCCCCACAATCGACTAGAGCTCGAAGGGACAACTTATTCGTCACTTCGAGTTTCAAGGTAATGAGTGAGATCTCATTACCTAGAGCAGCAACGCACAATGTCTGTGTGTTGGGAGCAACCTTCATCAAGAGGCCTACAAATTCTCTTGACGTTGCTAGACCAGTAGGGTGCTCCGCACCTACTGATCCTGTCCGTTTTTTTACGGTCCATCCCGTTGTTGCGTCTTTGCACCAACTGCGGACCCTCGTCCCTGCCCCTTTCTCATGGGTGGACGGTCACTACGCCCAGTGTCGCGAGACACTGGACGAGGGGCACTACACTCGTAAGCGTAGTGTCCTGTCTTTTGACATCTGTTGCATCTCTGCAACTTCTTGTAGCCTGTAGAGCGAACCTTCTCACTCTCTACATAACAGAGTTCCATCGGCTCTGGACCTCCGTTGTCATATCGTCTCGGTTGACGATATGATGTCGAGCTGGCGCGAGCCTGTCTCAGACTGAAGTCTTCCTGCTCAGCAATGGAAATGGCTTGTTCTAGTGAATCTAGTTCAAGCCGGAACAGGTGAGTCTTGACGGGACCATCCGCAAGACCCTGCATGAACACCGAAACCAACGTGTGTTCATCCACCGGATTGGAACTTATACAACTCGTGAGATGTCGTATATGTTGAGCGTAAGCGTGCACATCACGCTTACCCTGCTTGAGCTTCAAGAGTTCGGTTCGAGCCCTGAACTCAGCTCTAGGCGGTTCAAACGTTTGTCTGAGCCGCGACTTGAAGATTTCCAACGACCCAAACGCATATGGGTCGTGCAACTTGAGCCCCAGTGCCCAAGTCTTGGCACGTCCTACCAGATTTGAATGGGCAAATGCAACTTGCATATCCCCGTCGTCGATGCGACGCGCCCTTATGGCGTCATCCAATTCGACGAACCATCTCAAGAGGGAGTC